CTCTGAGCATCACATCCGATCCACAAACAAATCTCCTCACAAATCTAAAATGAAACAGCGAATTACAAACGCTACTGAAAAAAAAAAAAAAGGATGTGCTTGGAAGCATGCACCTGTTAAACCACAGTTAAATAACATAAAAAAAACGGTACACTTCGCAGTTTGGCTCAACACGTCAACTGTGACCTCGGCGAACCAACCCAACAAATTGGTTAACTCCCGGCTTTTACCGACAACACAATTACACCTAATTGCTTTCCTTAACAACGGCAAATTTCTTGAAGGAGGTCGGGAAGGACAAAACCCCAGTAACTGTTTGGACATCAGTATGAAGTGTACTTGAGGCTGTCACCTATGTTTGTCACCTTATTGGCGCTGAATGTCAACAACTGGATGAAACAGAGAAGTATTTCTCAACATGGAGAGGAGGGGTTTAATATTTTCCGTCATTTAACCATGCTAAATATAGAGTTAAAAGTTTAGTCCAAGGTCTTGGCGAACCGATTGCAAGTTTTGCTCGATCGTCTGATATTTTCAGAACAGAAGGGTAGGATAAATGGATTCATCTTTCCCTATCAGGAATCTTATCAACCAAGGGGAGATAACCTATATTTTTCATAATATCCATACTGTTTAAAAACGATCCCTGACTTTTTAACAGTTATTGAACATAGAGATTTTATTCACAAATGTCAAGTTTCAGACTGTACTTACATCATTCATATCTGTTTATTATGTTGTTTTTTTTAATTCTGCGTTTATTTTATTTTACTTTTTGAGACCACGGCCTTTCTTCTGTTTTAGTTTCAATTGTATGATGTTACTAGCCAAATTACACGCGCCTTGCCTTGTCATACATTTTTTGTAAGAAAATGATGATTGATTTTAAATCATTGTTATAACTTTTAGAGAAAAAAATGATGCATTTCAATATTACTCAATGATCTTGCTAATGTGACCTCCATCTTCTGGCTTTCTCCTTCTATATTTTGGATAGGAGTCATTCCCTGTTCAAATTTAAATTTAATTTAAATCAAAAGGAAAAAATTCACTGGGGTGTTTGTGCAAAAACAGTTTGATCTGACCCCTTTGATATGTATTTGATGCAATACTTGATTGAATGAATTGATGAGCAGATTTCAACATTGATATGGCAGCTGAATTGTCACAAATATGTATTGTAAAGTACTACCCACTGATTGATGATTTCTTGCTCAACTTGATGTCCACATTGTCTCATTTTGATCTTGCCCATCTGTCATATAAGAAGAAAATGAGTAACTAACGACACCAAGATTCGAGCGTGACACACTGGACTTATGAATATATATGTTTTCCGCCAGGTGTAAAAATAGTGGTGTGAAGCTGCTGACTGCAATGATTATTGAGTGACTATTGAGTGGAGCTATCCAGTCGAATTAGTGTGAATTATTGTGCGTCAATGATTTGGGTTTTGATTTAGGATTTACCGGGCGTTAAGCCGAGCCGCGCTACTAACAAGGTATTCACTGAAATGGTTAATTATCCTTGATTTACTCTTACTTATTTGTTCGTGTTACGTATTTATTTGCGGTTGTAATTAAATAGTTTTATTTTAACATTGAAGTCTCGAGTTATACTTAATTATTAACGGCCACCGTACGTCACAAAACGATCTGACCGCCATCTTCTGGCTTTCTCCTTTTATATTTTGGATAGATGTCATTCCCTTGTTCAAATTTAAATTTAGTTTATGTCAAAGGGAAAAATTCAGTGTGGGGGACCCCTTTGATCAAAATGAAATATACTTATCCAAGTACCCTGGGTAATGTAGTTTCAGAATATATATGCCTATGGGGTTTATCTCCAAAACCCTAAGAGGAGTTCGATAACAAGCAAACAGACAGACAGAGACTACAACTTTATATATATAGATTGTACATTTTTGCTTTTCTCCACATTTCAACACATAATCTATACTGTTTGGATTCATAAATTTGGTTTCCTATTCCCCAAAGATATTGCTTTCTCAGGACATTAACTAGATTTTAAAAATTTTCTTTGTTAATTTTTCCCCCTTTTCCATTTATATTTTCTTGTGTATGTTTGTTTCATCTGTCAGTCTATGAAGAGAGGATCTTTTTTCCATACTCTCAGCATAGTCGCACGTGATTCGGTTAAAGAAGCTACCTATACCATTTGATGGTAGAAACAGAACAAAGACGATTAGTAAAGAGAGAACAGTTACGTCGAGCAACAAAAGACGGGAATTTGTGGAGGAACCATGATAACCCACATCATGAAAAAGTAAATAGCTTATACAGGGTTATAGATTTTTTAGTATCAAGGGAGATAAATCTGTAAAAAAATATTTATTCAGTTATTTCCCTTAGATCACAACCCGTCATATCTTGCCAGGAGGTAAAAAAAAGTTTTTGATTTGTGGTCGGAATATTCTATTTCTTCTTTGTTTCTTACAGAAATTCAAGAAGAGTGTAATAAATAAATTCGTATCTTTAATAAACTTAACAAATACATATTCAGGGAAATATAAAGTATACATTTTGCTCTCAAAAATGTCCTCTAATCAGTTCTTAAAACAGTGGTAAGAAATGGCTTTTAAATTTTAACACCTCCAAAACGAAACTGTTATCCTTTAAACATCATAGGAAACGATTTTTGCCTTCCATCAGAATGGCTGATGATAACTCCTTGCTCTCTCTTGTCTTGTTCTTACGTTTTCTACTGACATGAAATGGAGAAGTTGTATTGAAATTGAATTTGTTGCAGACTGGCGAATGTGTTGTATTAGGTATCAGAAGGTTATTTTATCTATCGGGTCAATGATGTTGGTGTTCTTAAACATTCGTCCACAACAAATTTAGAAACATGAATAATATCGAAGACAGATCATTCAAGATAAATCAAAGCGAAAACAACGTAACAATAACATGGAGAATAAAATATAAACAAATGAATTGAATTGTTGAATAAGTATGAATGGCTGAATAGAATTATGTAGAATATTTATGTCAAGTTTCAATGTATATGGAGCTGTTATTAAGATTTGTGTGTGAAATTAAACTAAGTGAATGTTCACGTACAAAAAAGTGTCTTTTGTGGCAGTTCAGTTAATAGTGCGTGTGTTTGTTTGAATTATTGTCCAAAACTGGTATGAGTTATGTACCTTTAGTTGTTTTGATGTTTGGTTGAATGTTTATGAATATAAAGTTTGCGCGGCAAAAATGTAGCTGGTTACGATTTTGACTGGCGTGGAATAGTTTGGCATTTCTCCAGGATAAAATTCTGACATTATTTATTATGTAAGAATACATAATTATGGCACAAGGCCGAAAAGGGGGAGGGTTTGAGGCTGGTCTTAACTAACTATCCTATACCTAGCTAATCCGATTCACGACCCATCCACTCCTTACAGTTTGCTCATTCACCACAAAAACTCATCCATCACCAATCAATCCTCCATACACCATAATACCTCATCCTCTCAAGGGGACCTACAAAACGCTCCCCATGCCATAGAAATTTAATGATAAATAATACATAAAAATCTAATAATGAAGAATGAGAGGGGAGGGAGATGAACCTAATAATAAACTAAAATATTAACATAAATCAAATTAAACATAACAGATGTTAGTAGGGCCCGTCCAACCCTCAAAACAGAGAGGCCGCTTGACTGCCTTGAATCGATTTGGACGCTTCTATTTATTTAGTTCTGGATACTGGCATCGGCTCAAAACGGTTAGGCGCGAAAAGTCATTTTCGCGTGAATTTGCTACAGTTGAGCCAATGAAAAGTCTAGTTCACTGGAACTAGGGTGTTGATTGACTAATAGGTAATTTTGTGATAAAGTGTATTATTCCGGAGAGGTGAAAAGGTATGTATGGACTATTCCATTAAATTAATTGCTAGATCTGATACTAAGACGATTTTCCTCACCAGTATTTATCTTGCACATTTATAAATCTACCATTCGTCTGTGGATTGAATATTCTGCCATATATGGGTTGGTACTTCGGATATATATCTCATGATTCACGATAACGTCCAATGAGGGGTCTGTAATGTTATCGTTCCTGACCTACCATCATGAATTCAGTCACTTTTCCACCACCATGGCGTTGCTTCTCATTGACTTTTCTATAAACATTCTTAGAGTAGTTATTCTAATGAGCTTTCCTTCTTGGTTCCCCAACCACAATAAATTTAAGCGTACCACTAGATTGTCAATCTCATAGTGTTACTGCCGACGTAGCTTGTCGGAATTTACCTTCTTCCTGATAAATTCGACTGTTGAACCAAAAATTCTATGCGGCAAAATAAAGAAAGTAAAAAGGTTTAACACATTAAAGATCTTGTTAGAGATTTGCAAAGAATTTTATTAAAAGAAGTCTCCGAAGTGGAGTATTAAAGAAATTAAAAGATACAATAATTAACACAAAAATAAAAAGCAGGCTTGCAAGCAATTTGCTGTATGCGACCACGAGAATAGTTCTTGGTACCAAGTAACGTACAAAAAGAGGATTGAAACCTACCCAAAGTTCATGAACAAAGAAAATACTTCTTGTAAAATAATAAGAGAAAATTCTCTCTAGCAGAGTTCGTGCTCCTGGGAAGCAAAAGATGTTTTAAAAGCCGTGTAGAAAAACGTGATGTATGACAAAGTTCTTGTGAAGAAACTTTACAGTTGAAAGAATTTGGAAGAAAAAGGTTCCTTGTAGAAAAAGAGGCTTCCAGCCAAATAATCTAATTTCCCTGGCAGAAACTAGATATTATTAAAGGACTTCTAAAAGAAGAAAAACGATGCCGCTCTTACCACGTTCACCTGAACAAACGTAAAACTGCAAGTAGAAATTCTGGCATCTGCAGAAATATGATGACTAAAAACAAGGCCTAACCATTAATTTGGAGAATTCTCTGGAAAATACCTTTCACAGTATTTTCTGGATCTTGTCTTAAGCTGGGATCTTTTTTCAGGTCTATCAACATTTTGTCGATATTCAAACAGGCACTGTAATAAATTCAGCAGAAAGACAAGCCGAAGTCCGTTCTTCAAGGCAGTCGTGATAAAAGAGATCCTTTTTCGCAGCCGCAAAGTTCAAAAAACTAGGATGGGCCCCCATTGGTCGATGGAGACACGTGTTCAGAGCCGGCATCCAAAAGGGATTTCCTTTGGGAATTATCGCACCCAAACGGTACAAGCACTGTTGAGTCCCAAACAAAGGGAGATAACAAATTTCACAAGATCTGAAGTAATCATATTACTCACACATATACATTTATTTATTCATGTAAAGAAATAACATATTTTCGATAGGCTAGATGAAACCTTAAGTTCTATTCTAGATTGGAAATTAATCTCGTCGTTTTACTGCCAAAATAGCTGGTTCAGTTTTATACGCTCAGTGCAAAATAACAGTTCAGTTTTATACAGTCAGAGCAAAATAACAGTTCAATTTTATAAGGTTAGTTCTAAATAACAGTTCAATCTTATATGGTCAGTGCAAAATAACATTTCGATTAGAATTTTAGAGTGAATCAAAACATTAAGAACCAGAAAAAGAAGAAGAAAAAACAATATAAAAATATGTAACATTTTTTCAGCCGTGCAGTTATCTTCGATGTATCTTTAAACTGGTATATATCGATTTAAGATCAGCAATTTTACATTTTCTTTTGAATAAAACATCAATCAAGATGGAAAACCCGACCCAGCAATTGAGAAAATGAAAAACGAATTTGTCTTAAAAAAAAAGTCCAAATGTTATGACATGAGCATTTGTTCACGTTATGAAGTGTACGGTGTCAGAAACAAGGGAAATTTAAAGAAATAGTCAGCTATAATTAACATAAAATACAACAAATTAAAAAAAATCAGGGTAGATGTCTCTCGTATGAAAAAAAGTGGAATATTAATGGCGTTCGGTGAGGCGTACGGAAGGAGAAGGAGGATGAGTTGTGACTTACTGGAGCGCCGGCGTTTGGCCAGGTGTCTTTGGAGACGGGAGGTCGCTTTCCGATGAAGTGTGTGAACGCGGACCAAGATGCCGTCCAACTGCTAAATGTCCCTTTGATGGGATTTTATCTCATTTTTAGGCTCAAATATTGGGTGGAATTTCTGGTTTGTATCGCTTATTTTTTTTTCTTTGAGTGTGTGAATAAAAACAGAAGATATGTGTGGAACCTTGCGCAGTTGACGGAATTTTAGTTCAGTCTTGGGTTTTCGGAGCGTTCACATCCTGCCAGTGTTGGAAATTAGTGTAGCATGAATCAGATCTGTGTGGTCACTCACATTAAACCAGTAGAAATTAGTCTTGTGTTCACGGGGATAAAAAAAATACGTTAGAGAAATAATTATAAAACATACAGAGATAACAACAAAGGCATGGTAATGTTAATTTCATACAATTTATTTATATTTTTGTGTGTATCGGTGTGTGTTTTTAGGTTATAATTGTTTCATGATACACGCGAAAAGGGAGAAGTCACTCCGTATTATTACACGTCATGTCACAGAGAGAGGTTGAACACGTTTTACCCGTACGAAGGTTCGTATCGAAGAGATTGAATTTAAATGTCTTTTGGAGGGATATCCGTATTTCCGGAAGGAACAGTTTTCGTTGCATGCTGGGAGTATTTTTATTATTTTTATTTATTCTATACAACTTTTTTATGTTATTATTTTATTTTATTTATAATTTTCATTATTTTTATTTAATGTCCTGGTTTTAGGAAGAATGTAACAAAAATTTACGCATAATTTAAAAAAAAAACATCGATTTAAAAATGCGTGACACTAATGTTTTCTTTAGCATCAAATACCATATTTTGTATGGCGGTTAACAATCCTAGTCTGATAAAATATTTCCTGTTATTCTACTTTATGACAAAAATCGACTGTTCACGTTGTTATAAAAGGGAAATAACTAAATAAATATTTTTAACAGAGTGACCTCCCTTGATATAAAAATTCTCAGTTATATTTTCAAAACTTCTTTTAGTTTTATTTTTTTACTAATGTTCACCCAATACAAGACCCAATAGCCACTCAAATTAGAGCTACTGTGTGTATAGATAGATAAAGAAAATTTCAAAAGATTAAATTTTGCAGTTATACTGGTCGTTAGTGTTAGATAAATTTATTTGAATCTGGTCAAGCAGTATTTGATTTGAATAGGTTCTGATAGACTCATTGAAGGGAAGTGTGGTAGACAATGCCTTAAAAAATGCAGTTCTCATAAGTCCCTATATTCGTTGACTTTTTTTTTTAGACAAACGTGCAGTGGAAAATGTCATGATGCCATTTCTGACCTTAGGTCTCTGGGACCTGGGAGGAAAGTAGCACAAAAGAGAAATCAAAGGAAATAATAATAATAATAATAATAATAATAATAATAATAATAATAATGAAATCGAAATCTCAAAAATGAAGCACATGGGAACATCAACAATCCCTGTTGTAGTTGGAGCCCTAGGCTTGGTTGGAAAAGATTCCAGTAGACTAATTGAAGAGATCCCTGGAAGTCCATGCCTTAAAGAAATACAAAAAATTGTTCTCACGAGTACAGCCCACACCTTACAAATGGCTTTGTTTATTTAATTTTTTTTTTTTTTCCTGTGGAAAATGTCATGATGCCACTTCTAACCTTAGGTCCCTGGGCGGGACCCGGAAAGAAATGAGTACACACCAGAAATCAAAGGAAATAAAATAAAAATAATAATAATAATGATAATTTTGGGTAATATTGGTGGAAGATATAATAAAAAACATAAAAGGTTAATCATTGATTCATCAATCGTGTCCTTTTGATACACGGACAGGGTAGAAGCAAGTGGAGAAAGAAACCAATTATGACTCATTGAACTTTGAACTCACAAGGCTTTGGAAGTTGAAGACAATCACAATCCTACCAGTTGTCATTGTTGCTCTTGGTATGGTGACTGACAGAATGGCAATATGGACATGGAAATTGGCATTGCTTGCCCAGTGGAACTGTTCCAATGCCTCTTATGAATAGAAAGAATAATCCAGTAAGTGATGAACACTTAGAGTCAGATGAAAATTCCATGATACTTAAGACTGTGGCTTTTAATCCATTCATTAATTACCAGATATTAAGATCTTACCTGAGAAAATATGGAAATAATAATAATAATAATGGCTATAAGATATTTCAAAAGAAAATAAGCCATCTATTTTATATGGATGACTTAAAATTGTATACTAGAAATGAGAGTGAGCTTGGAGGTCTCCTAAAAACAGTAAAATGTTTCAGTGATGATATTGGAATGGAATTTGGTTTGGATAAATGTGCTAAAGTCACAATTTTATGAGGGCCACTACAAAAACCACTATTAGACCCTGGGATAACAATCAAAGATTTAGAGTAAGAAGAATCTTATAAGTACCTCAGTGTAAATAAGAGTAAAGGAATTCCCCATGAAAAATGAAAGAAATAGTGTGAAAAGAGTACTATAGAAGGGTGCAATTAAGAACCGGATTGAATTCTTGGAACAGAATTATGACCATTAATAGCCTTGCCATCCAAGTGGTTCAATATAGTTTCATCATTTTGAACTGGATTCTAAATGACATCAGATAAATGGATTCTTAGACAAGAACGCTTCTTTCTAAGCATAACATGCATCATCCAATGGCTGATGAAGACTGTCTATATATGCCTCTTAATGAAGGTGGAAGAAGTCTTATTCCGTTAGAATTGTCATTTAAGACAACAACTATTGGCTTACTAACATACATGGAAACAACAAAGAACTGGATGATACAATTAGTCAAACAACATGAAGACAGAATGAAAAAAATATTCAATCATGAAAGAAGGTTGTAAATACAAATGAGATTTACATTGGGTAGATTTTGTAGAAAACCAAAACAGAATCTAAGAACCAACTGTTGCAGCAAAAATTATGAAAAAGAAAGCCAAGGATAAAGCTCTTAAATAGATGAAATAATGCTGACAAGACAAACCACTGCATGGCCAATATCCAAAATGAGGCTAATAAAGCAGATGTTGATAAAGTTAACACTCAATGATGGTTACAAGCATATGGATTGAAAGCTGAAATGAAAGGCTTTATTCTTGCAGTGCAAGACCAGAGTCTTTTCACTAGGAACTTTCAGGCAAATATCATATATAACAGTATGGATCCAAAATGAAGGTTCTGTGACAAATATCAGGAGACCATAGATGTTCTGTACTTGCACCAAATGAATATAAAAATTGTCACAATAGAGTGGGGCAATACTTACACTGGACAATGTGCAAACACTTTGGAAATGATGTTAATAAACACTAGTATGAACATCCCTGAACACTGGTTACAGAAATAAAAGACATCACAATTCTATGTGATTACACTATCTTTACAGACAAGAAAATTGAAGCAAATAGGCCGGACATAATTGTCACCCCCCCCAAACAGAAAAAAACTTGTCTCCTAATTGATAAGGCTTGCTCAGCAGACTGTAGCATAGCAACCAAAGAATTTGAAAAACTATCGAAGTATAAAGACCTAGAAATCGAAATAGAAAAAAATGTGGAAACGGAAAACAAGAATAGTACCAGTCATAGTAGATGTGCTTGGAATGATAAAAAAGGAACACAACAGCACATTGAAAAAATCCTAGGAAATCCTAATTTAAGAGAAATACAAAATATTTTCTTGATAAGTGCAGCCAAAACACTAAGAAGAACTTTGTCCATGTAATGTTAGTGATGTTTTATGGGAGTTAGAAAAACAAATCATGAAATGTAGCCATAACAATACACCACTACTTGTCTTAGGTTTTCCTTCAGACTTGGTAGGTAGTGTGACCATAGCAGAAATTGAAATAAAAATAATAATAATAATAATAATAAAGGAGGAAATATCTGTAGACTGTGCAGAAGAAGAGACAGAGAACAATTTAATCATTGAATATAGGAAATTGGAAATTGACACAGAAAAAATACAAGGGTAGGCATTATTGGGTGGGAAAGGTAACCCACTGAGAACTATGCAAGTGGCTCTAGCTTGATTACACAGATCAATGTAACAAGTGCATTTTCATTCTCTTGGATGTTTTGAATGTTACAGACCTGTCCCCACTCCTATTAAGATGCTGTTAGAGCTAAATCAGAGGAGAGATCAGCTGCTAGGCTCTGATAATCTAGATTTTTGGAGGAGCGCCCATAAGCCATAGTATCTTTTGCATAGATATACAACATTGTTCTGGGTCATTACCT